TAATCAAATGAGAAAGCAATACCAAACTTTCCAGGTTTGTAAAATAGTGTTCCTAATTAAAGTGAATATGCATAAAGATCAGTGTACATTAATGCATGGTGGATAAAGATTTGTCCATTCAGATCAGAAAGTTACTATAGCACTTAAGGGGCTTTCCTTGCATGCAGCTGATCTGGATTTTATTCCTAACACCATATATAGTGCCTCAAGCACTGCCAGGAGTGATCCCTGAGCACAGCTGGATGTGGCCAAAAAAAACAAATACAAAAAGATTAGTCTAGCCTTCTAAGAATGAGGCAGGTGTTGTTATATTTGATAAGTATTTCTATGTTCAATATTTTTGAAAGGACAATGCATAAAATGTATAAAAATGTTGTCACTGTCCTCCCATTGTTCATCGATTTGCTCGAGCGAACTCAGTAATGTCTCCATTGTGACACTTGTTACTGTGTTTGGCATATCAAATACGCCACGGGTAGCTTGCCAGGCTTTGCTGTGCAGACAAGATACTCTCAATAGCTTGCTGGGCTCTCCGAGAGGGATGGAGAAATTGAACCTGGGTCGGCTGTATGGTAGAGATAAACAGGGATATATGCACATAGATAGACCCATCTATACACATGATCACGATCACGATCATCCTGTTGTTCGTCGATTGCCTCGAGCAGGCCCCAGTAATGTCTCCTTTGTCCTAGTCCTGATATTTTAAAAAGTGCCATATTCAAGGCTCTTTCAGCGTTAGGAGAATGAGACCCATCATTGTCACTGGTATTTGGCATATTGGGTATGCCATGGGGAGTTTGCCAGACTCTGCTGTGTGGGCAGATTACATTTGGTAGTCTGCCGGTTTGTCCAAAGTAAGAATGATATAATAAGATGTCTCTTCCGGGATCTGGGTTTTATAGTCTCTGGGTCTTGGCCGTTGATGGGATTACACGGCACCAGGGGGCCAGTTGGTGGGTGTGATCCCTGCCTACTGGAAGATGGAGGATCTGGGTAGAGGATGTTCAGCCCCGATCCAAGCACACTATGCACACACTTTTGTATAAATTCAGATCGTTCCTGAAAGATGAAAAATTAATATTAGTTTATTTGAGCAGGGAAAGGGGCAAAATAGGGACTCTAGGACTATGATAGTTGGGTATAGAAAAGGCAATTGCTTTTCTCTAGTGATTTTTAATTTTTAATTATTTTTTGCTTTGTGTAAATAAACATTGCAGAATAAAACATTTAGATTATAAACAGGGTCAGAATTACCAGATACCAAAAAGAATTTTGTTTTTTCAAGGAGGAAATTTGCTAGGGTACTACAAACGTGTTTTAAAAGATTTCTATTATTGAGTATTTGTGTTATTATTTTATACGATAATATGAATGAATTTAACATTTACATTTTGATGTGTTTTGACACATGCATATACTCTCACAGCTCTTACATGATCAAGAATATATTTATCACCTCTGAATGTTCCCTTGGGCCCCTTTGCAGTATGCCCGCCCCTGGCCTGAATGTGTCTTCCAGCTCTCATACAGTGGGAACCTGCTTTCTTCCTTCTAGACATGCTCAGTTTTGCCTGGGATGTCAATGGCATCTTACCAATGAGATCTTTGGTCCCTGTCTATTTTCTCTTACTGTGTATATTATTAGTAGTTTCTTGTACTACTGAGTAGAAGGCTGTTTTTTTTTTCTTCTGTTCTTAATTAACCAAATGTGGGTTGCCTGATATTAAGCTCCCACTCTGATACTATCCTTCCTAAATGCAATCCTCCATATACATATTTTTTGGGGGAGGCCATACTCAGAGATGCTCATGGGTTAACTCCTGACTCTATGCTCGGGGATAATTCTTGATGGTGCTCAGAGTACCATATTTAGTGCCAGGGATCAAACCCGGGTTGAATATATGCAAAGTAAGTGACTTACCTGCTGTACTATTTCTCTTGACTCCTCCATATGTGTTTTTGAACTGCTTGGTAGGTAAGGCATCATAAGGCAGTTTTATCAACACAGTAAAACCAAGCTAAAATGTGGATGAACAGAAGGAACAGGAGACCATTTTTTTTTTTTTTTGTGAATGGGGCTCGGCCACTCATCTGACCAATTGGAAAATGTACTACATCTTATTGTATTAATAATCTCTATGTTCTTTTGGGTGATAAATAGCACTAAATTGTTTAGGTGATACACATTATACCCAACTACAAAACAATATATAGATCAAATCTCCATCTTACCTATTATGTTACTTAAAAACCAAGCAAATCATTAATCAAGGAAACTAATTTTAGTAACAATGATCTATAAGCTAAGGCACCATGAGTGACTCAAGTATTTGAAGTTAGGACGATGGAGAGTGTTTGTCTTTAATTACAACCTCAGAATTCATCATGTTTATTAGAGATTTATTCTCTGCAAAGGAACCACTACTTTCATGTGTACTGCTAATTTTCACTAAGGAAAAGGGAAAAATACATGAGTTACATTTCACTAATAACAAAAAAATAAATAAGGTAAAAGGTAAAGGTAAAGGCCTTCCTGTTGATCGTCGATTTGCTCGAGCGGGCCCAGTAACGTCTCCATCGGAGACTTTTGTTGTTACTGTGTCTGGCATATCGAATAATCTCGGTAGCTTGCCGGGCTCTCCGAGAGGGGCAGAGGAATCAAACTCGGGTCGGCCATTGTTGGCCACTTGTAAGGCGAACGCCCTACCTGCTGTGCTATTGCTCCAGCCCAATATAACAAAAAAAATAAATGAGTTACATTAATTTGCACACGTGAGGAGTATTAAATATACATGGAATGCACAACTGATTTTCTGTTAATAAATCATGAGGGTTGCGTCTGGTGGACTGCATGTTTTCCGTGGCTTCAGCCTGACTTTCCCCAGCCTTCAACCTGTAATCACAGTCTGAAGACACCCAGAATACAATTTCTGTTTTTTAGGCTGATTTTAATCCTAGGTATTCTCCTTCTCTAAAACATTAATGTGAATTATATTGTGTGACAGAGCTCTCAAAACTGGGTAATGTAAATTTTAAAGGGAACATTGACTTTCTCTAATGTAGCACCATGAATAATTCTGCTGTGGTTGAGCTGTGCCTCATAAGCACTAAAAAATTAATCAGTTGAAAAAGGACAGAAGGGCGCTGACCCCTACACCTTGTCCTGCTGTGCTACAGTAGATTTAATTTGGGAGCAGAAATACAGAGACAAGCAGTTGAGATTAGGAGTACAAAGTAGTTCATAAAGCTAACTACGTGTCCTACAGCAGTATGGTCCTAACATTGACAAGGTCCAGTTTTCAAAATAAAAATTTTCTACTTTAATTAAAATCGCATTTTAATATAATAAATGGTCTGAACTGATTTTTATCTGGATTCTGTGTGTACTAAAATGAAAGGCAATTGATATGAAACCATTTTGCTTTTGACAATCTAAATATGTAGAAAATTCAAATTATCAGAGAAGAATTCTTTCTTAATTGATTTTATCTTATGTTTTTAGAAGTGTTGGCTTACTATAAAAATGTTCTTATTGGTCTGGTTATGTGGGGGCTGTGTGCACTTGGATTATAGAACGAAAATCAGCTGTGGCTTCCAAATTCTAATTCCATCTGGATTTTTTTTAAAACAAAAACATTTAAAAAATACACTCTTAAGGAATACAGTTTGAAATTTCTCAATAAATCAAGCCTACTAAAAATGAATAAATAACAACTCAGATATATATGGTGTAGTAGGTTATTAGAAGTAATATAGTTTATTTCCACAGCAGATATCAAATATAATTAGAATTTGAAATATTTTCAGTCTCTTATGTTTAAATGCTTTATTCAGGGACCTGAGAGATAGTACAGTGGGTAAGGCACTTGCCTTGTGCACGACTGACCTGGTTTTAATCTCTTGCATCCCATATGGCCCCTGAGCACCAGCAGGAGGAATTCCTGAATGCAGAACCAGGGTTAACCCCTGAGCATTGTTGAGTGTAGCCCCGAAACCAAAAAACTAAATGTTTTATTAATTTTCTTTTTAAATCTCCTATTGTTTAGTTTTTATTTTTTTATTATAATATCATGGTTTATCAGGTTGTTCATAATACAGTTGTTTCAGGCATTAAATGTTCCAACACCAGTCTCACCACCAGTGTGCCCTTCTTGCCACCAATGTCCCCAATGTCCCTCCATATACCACCTCGAGCCTGGCAAGATACTGAGAGTATCTCGCCCACACAGCAAAGCCTGGCAAGCTACCCGGGATGTATTCGATATGCCAAACACAGTAACAATTGTCACAATGGAGACATTACTGGGCCCGCTCAAGCAAATCGATGAACAACGGGAGGACAGTGACAGTGATACCACCTCAGTCTGCCCCCTTGCAGTCATAAATTAACTGACTTCATGTTTTGTCTTACAACACAAAGGCAAATGGAATTATCAAAACTTAGATTAGTAGAAATCAATTAGTGGTAACTTCTGTGCTGTCACTAGAGTCATTGTCTGGGGATCTGCCATACATAGTGCTAGTTTAGCCTTCTGTGTTATTTAAGCTCATTGAGCTTGGTAGTCTTTTATTGCAGCTTCTCAGTCAGATTTGCTGTGGTCCTACTTAGCTGACAGTACTATGAAATATTGAAGTGTGGCAGCAGAGGTGGCCGTGCTGTCCAGGAGCGATAGATCTGGAGCAATTGGGTGGCTTGGCAGCTTGATGGCGTTCAGTTGTGAAGCTGGCTGTTTGTAAGCCGGGGCTTCAGGCAGAAAGGGGAATCTCTCAACCCCATGTTGAGACGGTCCCAGAGTTTTCAGCCCAAACTAGACTACCTGGGAAGATTTGGTGATATCTTTTATTCAGTTTTTAAGGAAATTTTCTGCCTCTTTTTTTTTTTAGGTATGAAAGTCACATTATTGTAGTCAGCTGAACTTAAAGTTTGAAAATACTGAAGCGTGTGTACAGATCCTTTATTAGTTTGTTTTAATTTTATCTCTTTTTTTTGTTTTCAGAAAGCACAGACATGCCAACAAAGACTCAATAGGGAAATTTCCAGCTTCCTTAAAATGATTAAGGAGTGTGACATGGCTAAAGGTAAGAATAAGTAAAAGTGAAAAATGAAAAAAGACAAACTGGGCTGGAGCGATAGAACAATGGGTAGGGCATTTGCCTTGCATGCGGCCTACCTGGGTTCAATTCCCAGCATCCCATATGGTCCTCAAAGCACCGCCAGGCCAGGAGTAATTCCTGAGTGCAGAGCCAGGAATAACTCCTGAGAATCTCCAGGTGTGACCCTAAATGCAAAAAAAAAAAAAAAGACAAACTATCTCCAAGATGTACTGTTTACAACACAACCCATTAAAAAAAATTAAGTAACATGGTTTGCAAAATTAATAATTTGCTTCTTAGTATGGTTTAAAACATAAAAAAATATTCCAGCTCCACACTGTCCACCAGTGTCCATTTTCCTCCACCGTCGTCCCAATTCCCCTCACAACCCCTCCATTCCCCTGTGGGAGCTTCCTAACTGAAACCAGTTCTCAGTTTCTTTGTGCATATGTCTTCCCCTACCATGTTTCTTTGTATCCCATGAATGAGAGAGATCATTCTGTGTCTTCTCTTTCTTTCTAATTGTCCTCAACTTGATATTCTCCAGATCCATCCACGTAGAGACAAATTGCATGATTTCATCTAATGGCTGAGTGGCATTCCATTGTGTATATGTACCATAGTTTCTTTATCCAGTCATCCATTTTTGGACGTTTGGACTGTATACAGATTAAATCCAACCTGTTTCATAGGTGTTTACTCTTAGTTTGGCTACACATTTTAAATAATGTACAGTTATAAATTTGTCATAGTTATAAACTATGCCAGCCTTGAGTCTTCTTTTCTTTTGGTTTTGGGGGCCGCATTCAGCAGTGCTCAGGCTTACTGCTTGTTCTGTGCTCAGGGTTATTCTTGTTGGTGCTGGGATTGAACCCTGATCAGCTTTGTGAAAGTGAAGTGCCTTACACTCTGTACTCTCTTCAGCCCCACCTTGAGTCGTTTTTGTGGAAAATTACATATAGAAGACAAAATCTGGGTACTATATATGCCCCTTCCTCTTGGAATATGATCCTTCAAGTGCCTGTTAGTGGCAGGTCCTATAATAGATATGCTCTGGCAAGCTACCTGTGGTGTATTCGATATGCCAAAAACAGTAGCAATAATGGATCCCATTCCCCTGACCCTGAAAGAACCCCCAATACGTCATTGGGCTACTCTAGCACGCGGCAGGGAAGAATGGAGATATTCCTGGTGCCCGCTGGAGCAAATTGATGAGCAATGGGACAACAAGTGATACAAGTGATAGTTATAAATTTAGGATATATATTAAAGGGCTGGAATAATAGCACAACGGGTAGGGTGCTTGCCTTGCACGTGGCCAACCCGGTTCAATTCCTCTGCCCCTCTTGGAGAGCCCGACAAGTTACCAAGAGTATCCCGCCAGCAAGGCAGAGCCTGTCAAGCTCCCCATGGTATATTCAATATGCCAAAAACAGTAACAAGTCTCACAATGGAAATGTTACTAGTGCCCGCTTGAGCAAATCAATGAATAATGGGACGACAGTGCTACAGTGCTATTCTATTAAAAGTTTTTTGTTTTGCTTTTGTTTTGGGGGAAAGCATACCCTGCAATGCTCACGGGTTACTCCTGGCTCTGCACTCAGGAATCACTCCTGGCAGAGCTTGGAGGACCATATGGGATCCAGGGACCGAACTCGGGTTGGCCACATACAAGGTAAATGCCCTACCCACTGTCCTGTCACTCTGGCCCCTAAAGGTTTTTAAGCTTTTAAAAAAATTCTCAGAGGAAGCTTTCTTTGTAGATTTGTAATGTTTCATTTTTTAACAGAAGAATATAATAAAGTTAATATTTGGGGGCTTTGAATTCACTGTGGCTACATTCTGAGAATTTTGCTCAAGGGTTCCAGAAGAGTTGGATTCTGGAGTCGAACTTGAGTTTGGAGTCTTGGGCTCAACTCCTGCTCTGATACCCAAAATTGATCATTTAGATATCTTGCTTGTCTAGCCTCAATTTCCCTGTCTTCAAATTAAAACGTTGGTTATTTACAAGTAATGGCCCTTTATGATTGTAATGTATACATGAATTTATCTGAATGTCATTTTTGTGTATGGTTTGGATACACCTAACAGTGCTCAACATTTACTCCTGACTCTGTGCTCAGAGATCACTCGTGGAACAGGGGATCATGTGTGGTACCAGGGATAGAACCAGGTTGGCTGCATCCAAGGCAAGCTCCTTACCTGCTGTACCATCTCTCTGGCTCCAAATATACGTTAGTCTATTTTAACAATAACTTTTTGTCTGTACTGTGCATTATTTATGAATTACTAAAAATTTTCTCTCTATGCTCAAAAATCAAAGCACAATTAATTACAAAATACCAAGTCTAATATAAAATTTAAGTTGAGAAAAATAGTTGTTTCTTACATTAAAAGTTATTTTTTGGGCCAGACAGTACAGAGGTTAAAATATAAACCTTGCACACATCCAACCATGGTTCAATCCCTAGAAACCCATTTGGTTACTCTACCTTGAGCACAAAGTCAGGAATAAGCCCTTTACAGCACTGGCTGTTAACCAACAAATGGGAAAGAAAATTTATTTACATTTTGTGTACTCTAGTCTCCCGTAATAGTTGTTTTAGAATTTATCTAGGACGTTTATAAACAACCTCACTATCAAATCATAATTTATTTAGATCCCCTCTGTGATCTCCTAGTTTATGTGTTTCCAGAGAAAGTGAAGAAATGTAGATTCTAGAATAAATTGGTTGTAAGTATTCTCTATCTAAATGTATTTCAGACTCTTAGTTCATCAAACATCAACAAGAATAGCTTTGAGAGAATTGCAGTTAATTGATTATTAATTTACAAGCTGGAATAGTATATTACTTAGCACTATTTATTCTCAACGGACTTTGTCTGTTTTTGTTTAGGGGGCCACACCTGGATAGGCCCATGGGTTTACTCTGCACTTAGGAATTACTCTTGGGAGTACTCGGGACCATAGTAGGATGCTGAGAATCAAACCCAGGTTGGCTGTGTCCAAACAAATGCCCTACCTGCTGTACTGCTGTACTATTGCTTTGGCCCCTCAATGGACTTTTTTTTTAATTGCTTTTTGGTCACACCCGGCAATGCACAGGGGTTACTCCTGGCTCTGCACTCAGGAATTACTCCTGGCGGTGCTCAGGGGACCATATGGGATGCCAGGAATTGAACCCGGGTCGGCCGCGTGCAAGGGAAATGCCCTAGCCTCTGTGCTATCACTCCAGCCCCCCCTCAATGGACTTTTAAAATAACATTTTATTAGATTTTAATTTGCACAGCATAAAAATCATCTATGTGAAATGTACCATTCTGTTTTAAAACATTTTAGAGTAATGCAAGTATTACCATAATAGGTGTTTTGAATATTTTCTTTAAAAATAAGAAGTGATACTAACACTAAAACATATAGAAAACATCCAGAGTGATATAAAGTACAAAGATTAATTTCATAACCCGGACCAAAGAAATAAGCTTTATCAGAACTACAGCCAGGCTATGTTGTTGATTTAAGCCTTGAGTCACGTCTTGGTTCTTGGTATCTACATGACACGTCACTCATAATGATAGTATATCTCACTCGTGCCATAAGAGGGGCATAATATTCAAATCTACAAAAGACAAACTTCATTTTGTACTATCTTAGTAACATTGAGATATTGGGCCGTGATAAGACAATGCTATTTCATTATCGACAGTAAAATTATATATAATTGTTGATATCTTTCAGAAGATTGTATACAAAACTACATTTTATATAAATAGAGTTAAGATAATTCAGGAATAGTATCAGAGAGTTGAAAATAATTCCTCCTAAAGCCAAGGGATTGTGCAAAATTATCTTTTACCATGTGTCTTGTTAAACAAAGCTGATAGATACACATTCTGCTCCAAACTGTACGTATTATGCCAATGACTTCTTAAGACCAAAAAGCTAAAATACTTGTGGACAGAAGCCAGATGTCATGGTTGAAACTTTATTTGTCATATATTTTAGTATTAATTTTATGATCTTTAAGACTCATTTCAGCTTTAACTATACTGCTTCAACCCTCTATCACTTCAAACCCAGCAGTTTACCTTTCAGTCTGCTGCCTTCTAGAATTTCCTTGTGTTCATCCTTAAATGGAATTGAATTAAAGACTCTCAGAAACACTTCCAATTCAGATGCTGTGAAGTAGTGCAGTATTGCTGCAGATTAATTTTCAAAAGGTTTTTAAATCTTAAACTTTTTTCTATTAAAAAATCTTCTATGTGCCCTTGAAACCCTAGCTAAAATGCAGACTGTAAGTTCTGGCATTTAAGAACTTTCACAATTCAGTTTTCAGCTTTATTTATAATTATTCTCTGCTATGAACCCAGAAAGCACTTTTGGCCAAATGTTTGAAATGTGATTTAATGGAATACTATTTTCATTTTTTGTGAGTGGACGTGAAGCATTCTTGATCTGGGTGAATGCCAAAATTTATGTGTCTGGCATTGGCAACGCATCATTCAAGGTTCAAAGAACATAGTTATGCAATGTCTACTTTTTTTTTTCACACCCATATGGCTCAGGAATTAACCCTGGCGGTGCTCAGGGGACCATATGGGATGCTGGGAATCAAACCCAGGTAGGCTGCATTCAAGGGAAACGCCCTACCCGCTCTGCTATTGCTCCAGCCCCGAAATGTCTCCTTTTTTTATATTTACCAGAAGTTTGATCACAAAAACAAATAGATCTTCCAAGCTAATAAAGTTTCTGGAAGACTTCCTGAAGGCCACATAGATAACCTGTTCTGCGCAGCCGATCAGGTGGTAGTCAGTTTTTAGCTAATGTGCATCTGTCGTTGATCAAGTCGCTTCATTACTGTAGGATTCTTGGAAGTGGATTTATTGGTGAAAGCAGATGAACATTTTAGCTTTTTGATACATGTTGTTAATTATTTCCACCAAAAATTACATTTATGTCCATCTCATTTACTCAGTGTTATTTT